GTGGCCATCGTACATGTTATCACACACTGCAACACTCACAAATATTTTTCAGAATTTCCGATTATTACACTTCCTCCAATTTTTTTCGGCATCGAGATGTTTGTTATCAAATTTCAACGAAAAACCATATGCGTAGAAAAAAAATAAGTACAACACATCCTTTCAGAACCCAAAGGAAATTAAATTTAACTTGAAAGTCTATGACTTATAAGTTAAATTGCGTGGCTGAGTATCAAGCTAAAATGGTATCGATTTTCTAGCATCGATTGGGCACTGAACAATTCAAACTGAAAATATTTAATTTAGCAAAGAAAAACATCTCAATTACATTAAAAATTTAGCGCGGTTTTCAGCTTAACTTTTGTCTTTGTTATGAATCTTTCATCTCTTTAGACTTATGTATGATTCGCATCCTGTGCTTTTGTAATATTTCATTCATTTCCGTTTCCGTTTTTCATTCCATTCCTCTTTCTTCGAATTTTCGATTTCAAAAACATGAATGACATCACGTTAAAATTTGATAAATAAAAAAAAAGTTTTGCCCCTGCGTAATAAGCCATTATTCAAGCCATCAAATTTTTATTGATTTGTATGCTAAAATGTATGTATATCATTTAGTAATCATACATTACTAGCCGCCGATTCAAGAGGCAATTCGGAATTTTGGGTATAATTGTTGTACATGAAAACTGTCACGTTGTGCATAGAAAATATTAGCAAAAAATAGCACTTTTATTGAAGTAAACTAGCACAAATAGCACATATTAGGAAACTATTGATTAGTGAAACTAGCGTTGGTGTCTCTCCCCTTGAGCTTGACTGATATTATCAACTTTACGGTGGCACTGGCAGCTTCTCTGTACACACACCATAGACCGAGAGTACGAAAATCATAGTATTTTGACAAATTCATCGAGTAACCATTGCAAAACATCAATGTAAATTGGCTACACTCCAAAATTTCAGAGGGGAATGAGTAATCTAGATACAGTGCGAAATAGCGGTTTCAACTGTTTTTGGAGTGTAAATTCATCCAAAAACAGTTGAAACCGCTATTTCGCACTGTATCTAGATTACTCATTCCCCTCCGAAAACTTACAGTGTAGTGTGTGGTTATAGCTCACAGTGAAGCTGTTAGTATCGCCGTTAAGTTGATTATATTCTACTCAAGCCACACACGATTGAAACAAGTTGCCGCAAAATTCAATGATTCAATGAGTTGGTTTAGAGATGGCATTGACTATAATGTGGCAGAACACTTACATTTTAAATGTATTGTGGCAATCGCTTTATGTTCTGAGCCACTGAACGGATTTTAGAAAAATTAGTGCTTATCAAAAGATGTAATCGTTGTCTTTCTAAAAATGTATATTATTTTAAAATCCATCAAGTGGTTCGACAAATATAGCAAAAGCGCTGAAAATCATCCAACGATCTTGAACGAAAGATGTAAATCTTCCAAAAGGTATAAAATTTTCTAAAATCCGTTCTGTGTTCCGCTCAGAATTAATACCCAAAATTCCAAATTGCCCTCTAGAATCGGCGAACAAAATCGGCGCCTAGGAAATAGCATCATAACACAATTTTTACTGGGGAAATCGTTTCTAGCTATCCCAAAGGGAAAGTGATAAAGAGTAGAAGAAACCACTCACATGATGATTGCCAAAAATGTCATAAGAATTTATGAAAATGCGTCAGAAATATTATTTATATTCTTATCACCGTTACTACTTTGCTAGCCAAAGCCCATGCATATCGATTCTTTTCCGTTCTTAAAGTGATAACTAGAAAATTACGCAATTGAAACAGAACATCCTGTTTGTCGATGGATTGTGATTAATCACCACTTTCTGGAATTCACAGATTTTTGGTGGTGAAGTCATCAAAATTAATTCTATTTTATCAAGCTATCAAATGCCTTATGGTAACAACTAATTTATTTACGAAGAATTTCCTTTTATAGAGTGTGTTGCGACATCAAACTCCATATTTTGACAAATTCTATTCGGTAAAACAAAACGAAGTCGTACAAGACATTGTGAAGGATGTGAAAAAGAGCGGGAAAACGGAAAATGATAGCGAATAATCAAAACATGTCAAACTGGATATAAGAACCAATTTTTTTACTGAATTCGCTTTAAGTTTTTTTATCAAAGAAAAACGATTACATCAGACTTGACTTAATACTTATCCATCCTATGTGTATTCACTGGCAGTTTGTTGAACGGAAGTTTGTCACAAAAATCGTATGATTTCAAGCAAAAAATTCTGATAATTTCTTTGTCGGATTCGAAATATTTAACGACGAACATAATAAGTAATCTCTTCATTCCAAACTACGTATGGACATTATTTTATATATATGTAAAGTATTTTCAAAATAGAATATTGCTTCATGGAATCAGAATTTCCGTTATATTTAACGTCCAGCAAAAATATTTCGGATGCCTATCAAGAGAAACATCCCATTTGCTTTTTTCATTCAACAGTTATTTTATTTTACATTGTAATTTTCATCTATAGCTTTTGATGTAATGCCTTCCGCCCCATCTGTTAGATGGATAGATTTTAATTGAACTCGTTATTTGCTTATTCAGAAAATTGATTTTCCCAAGGAAAGGTAGAATTGACACGCACAAAACAAGAGTTAAGCTTATGAGTCAATTCTTTCTATAACTAATACGAAAAAAAACTTTAAACAAAAAGAGACAAATAAAGTTGCGTGCAAAAGTGACACAGCTCAGCATTGATAGTAAAATCGATGTTTTGCATTTTTCTCGTTATTGTAAAGAGAATAACGATAAGGTGTCTTCGGCATTATTGTAGAACATAAAAAAAAACTTCAAATGTGTTGAAGACTTCTAATTGCTGTGTCAGTTCTACCTGGCTATTATGTCTTATATTTTATTTTCATGTTTTGCATGTGGTGGCTCTGGCCCACTAGAGGGCAATACAAATATAAGCTATTGTAAGGGTTGCCGAATAAGCAAATAACCGTGTAGCCGATCGCACATAACTGTGAGCGATCGGTCACCCATCAATATTATTCATTCGTATTTCTGCATTCAATAAAGAAGGTGTTCGGTCGAATTGCCTAAATAGTGCTACAGCAATAGAATTGGTAAAATTTTCATTTTTAGTGTTAGATTCTTCATTAAACCTTGTGGTTTCATTCATTTTAACTGATTTTGATGAACTCATAAGATAAGCTTAGTTTATACGAAAAATCAAAATCGTGATTCTATAATCGCGAAGTAGCTACTTTGGTTTTCTTCAATTTGACCAGCATTGTGGCTGCTTACTCAGATCTTAATCTTACTCTTAATTTAATAGGAGAATACAAATGAAGCAAAAAAATGAGTATTTGCTATTTATTCAACAGACATCGAGTTACTTCGTAGTAAGAATATGAATCATAAAATCTCATATGAGTGAAATGCATTTGCACAATGGTTTTTTTTTTATTAAGATCTCCCACAATGAAAGCTCATTTTACATTCAAAATTTGTCGTATGTACCATGTATCTACATAAATAAAAAGGGAACCCACATTTCAAATCAAATGGGCTCATTTTTCACACTTGAACAAAGAAATTTGTTTGATTAGTTACTGCATCAGTGTCGACTGCATAGATAAAAAAAAAGTATTCATGTAGAATTGTTTGAAATGTGCATTTACTAATACAGTTACAAAATTGAAAACGAAAATTGATAGTAATGAAGAGAAGGTAAGATCTATTCAATTTATAGAGAGCAAAACAAAAATATTTTCAATGCCATTGTTTACTATATACACTCAACCAATATTTGTTAAAGATTTACAATGATTTTCTATGCTAACATAGGCTCGAAAGAATGAAAAGCATACAGTTTTGGTATAAAAATATCAATATCAACCATTGCTAAATATTATGATAGCACGCTGTAGCGGAAAGTAGGCAATGGAAATTCAAATGTCTTTGTTTAATGTAATACATTTAGTATACATCTATGCACTCGTTCAATTTGAATTTAATTATTTTGAATTGGCTGAATTAGGATGAAGCCGTTTCACTGTCACAGGATTGGCTGAATGATGCCAAGATTGTTTCAAAATTTTCTGCAATCGGACTATTCAAAGCCTTTGCGCTGCAGTACGGTGTCTCTCCTTTATTGTTTTTTACATTTCTATCAGTATTTTTGATGAGGAGGTCAACCATATCTTGGTAAACTGTAATTAGAAAAAATGTAACATTTTTTCAACTATATGCATAACATTTTAACAAATCATGATCAAGATTACCGTTTTTTATTGCAAATTTCCCAATGGCAATATGGAGAGGTGTCGAACCGTATTTATTTTCCTTAGCATCAGTTGTTGCATTCGCTTCAATTAAACGGCGGGCCACTTCCAAATGATCCTTTCCAAAATGTTGGGCAACCAAATGCAAAGGAGTGTATCCATCCTCCTGTTGAGCGTCAACACTTGCTCCCGCTTTGATTAGAATGTCAACAATATCTTTAAAACCTTAATTGAAGAAACAAATTGGAATGAAAAGTAAGTTTCCAAATAATATCAACAGTATTTTGTTCAATTCATTTAAAAAAGATTATTCTGAAAATCTTGCATTTTATTCTATAAACAGAGTGTACCAACCATTAATTGCTGCGAAGTGAAGTGCTGTCCAATTATGTTTCTCCTTAGCATCAACAATAGCTTTGTTTTGAAGTAAAAGGACAACAACTTGCAGAAAACCTAAAATAAGTGAAAAAATATGTCGATTTATTGTAAACTTTCCAAGTATTTTTTCTATTCAGGAGAAGGGAGCGTAGACAATTACCATTCTGAGCAGCCAAATGAAGAGGTGTAACGTCCAAAACACTTTTATCATTGACATTGACCGATACCTTATCTGCGCTCTTTTCGATCAACAATGCAATCGTACTATTATGACCTAGAACATTGAACACAAACAATTTTTTCAATAAATAACATTAAGGCAACCATAACAATTTGAAGCAAATCTCAGCCGCATTTTTGAGAACGGTATCAACCGGTAGCTTAAAACATTTTAAAATCAAATTTAATTAAATTTACCATTTTCAGCAGCTGTATGGATTGGTGTATATCCGTCTTTGTTTTTGTGAGTGACATCGGCACCTTTTCGTATAAGAAATTTGACGATATCATCAGCGCCTAAATAAACATGATTAAAACTTTGTAATTTATCCCAACAATTTTGCATGTTCATTTATAAATGAATACCACTTTGCGAAGCGAATTGTAGAGGTGTAAACTTTTCATTGTCTTCAGCATCTACCTCCGCATGTCCATCTTCAACAAGAATTGTCGCTATACCTAAAGAACTCTTGCCTAAGCAAAGATAATAATGGTTTTTGGAAGATGTTTAGTAAAACTTAATAAAATGTTTAATAAAAATAGCAACGATCATAATATGTTTATTCATTACCATTTAAATACTTTTTCAGACAGACTGTGTGAAGGGGTGTTCTTTTTAAATCGCGACTTGTTATGTTGACATTTGCTTTCTTCTCTCTAACCAGAAATTTCACCATGTCCGTTTGACCTGATTGGGAATAAGGCAAATATTTACAACCGATTTTAGTCATTTCAGGCATTATAATATAATAATAAAAAACAATTACCACTCTCAGCAGCCAAGTAAAGAGGTGTCTTTCCATCGTTGTCAACGGCCTCTATATCTGTAGTTTTGTTTTTGAGAAGTTCATCAGCTACATCTTTATGGCCTGGAATAGAATAATAATTGAAATAAAAATAACCGATACATGTATTGTAAACGGACGTATCAGCCGTGCACGTTAAAATCAATTTTTATTACACATTTTTGAGTGGTAGCAACGTTTACGTTAAAAAAAAAACGGAATCGAAGAATATTCGCACAAAAAAGAATGGAAAATGGATTGTAAAATGATTCCAACGTGTACGATCGATAAGTCGATTTACAATGCAAATATCTACGGTGAATGTATAAGCAAATGAATGAATGTAAAGATTTTATTAAAAATGTTATTATGTTCTTCGGAATGAAATTCTCAAGAGAAATGCTCTCGATTAAATAAGAAAGAAACAATATCATCCATATTACCACTTGAGGCAGCTAGATGAAGGGGTGTTTGCTTCTTGTAGTCTTTGGCATTAACATCCACATATTTTTTCATCAAACTTTGAACGATTTTCACGTCACCTATATTTGAAAATAAAAAATCAAATTCAGGAACAATGAAACAATTTTCGTGAATTATCCGTGTTCTCGATTAAACTGAGAAGTTTCCACTTACCCTTGGATGCGGCTTGATGAAGTGGTCTTCGATGGTTCTTGTTTATAGCACTTACATTAGCTCCTTTTTCGATGAGGAGATCAACAGTCTCTTGGTTTTCTGTTTGAAAAAATTATTTAGTTATACATGATCATTAAAAAAAAAAACAATTTTACTGTGAATTTTGTTGATAAATAAGGTGTAGGTGAATTAAACTAGAATAATAAGTGGAGCGTACTTAAAACAATGGCACGATAAAGGATTGTACACTTGTTGATTCCAATAACATCATCAATCCCAGTTCCATTCTCATTAAGAAGAGCGTTCACTATGGTTTTATTTTCGGAAAGTATTGCCAAGCTCAACGGTGTTTCACTGTCTGAACAAGTCTGGGCAATTTTTATGAGTTCTTCTTTGACTGCAGTTACGTTTCCTGAATAAAAATTGCGATTTGATTGAATAGAATAATAGAATGATAATGTTAAATACAAAATTGAGATGTTTTCAAGGACTTACCTGACTTGAATAATTTACGCAATAGAGCCATGACCGCTTCACCTCTATCGGAGGATCTTGATAGCCAGAAGGAATATATTATTTAGTGTCAATTTATTTCAAATATCGAGCATTTGCTATACGTACCCATTGGGTGTTTGTTCTGCTGAGATTGGTAGAGTAGCAAACGCCGAACAAAAAGCAAAAATGAAAAAAAGCTTCATCTTTTCCTTATCCCACTGCCAAAATATCTATAGAACCTGAAGAATGAACAAAATCAATAAGTCGTTTCAAATGTCGTATGCTAACTCCTTCTGATAATATAATTCAATGAATGAATGTCCTGAATCATCTGACAAAGAATCTTCGCGAATTCAGATAATTTTACGAATTCATAACATAATCTATGTGTATGTTGTTTCACTTGTTCTTCATAACAAAATGATCGCTTCATAACAAAATGGTCAAGAGACAGAAAATTACTATGAAAATTATGAACAATCTCATTTTTACGAATTGTGTGATTATTAAATTTGATTTTTTTTAACATTTCGAGTGAATCGGCGTTTGACCTTCACATAATTTCAGCGATGAAATACTTTGTCATTTCAATATCCACTTGATGAGTAAAAAAATAGTAATGAATTCAAAATTATAGAAAAAGTCTCGAATGTTTGAACATCAACGAAAAATGTCTATTGCCGAAAAAATCATACACAAAACACCATACATAGGTGCATGATACTGGTAAATGTTATTACACAAGTCCACGAGGATCAAATGAGCACTCTTTCATCAAATTAACTGTCAATCAAATTACACAGACGCGTGCTCGTTGTGCGAGCAATAAAAGCTCTAGTGTCATTACAATGCGTTTTGCGCGACAAAACGAGTGAAATAGATAAATTGACTTTAATGGAAAAATAGAATACAAAATATTGCTATATTTCTCACTAGAACACATTTAATTTTATGAAAGACTTATTTGAAAGATTCGAAGAGTGCGAATGTTGTTCCCTGGTGAAGTTAGAGGGAAAAGAGTTTTTTTTTTGAATAAAAACCAAATGCACAAGAGAAAAATACCAAAATAAAATAATAAATTCATATTTACAGTTTAACAATTGTTTATCGATGTCGAAAGTGGACCGAATCTATATTATATATTTGAAGCACAAATATCACCTACTAATAAACGGAACTAGTTGAATGTAGCACGTGTTCACTGATCAGTGAAAACTGAGACATTCCTAGCACATGAAGTTCCTCTTATATACCGTTTTTGTAGCCATGTGGCCATCGTACATGTTATCACACACTGCAACACTCAC